ACCATCCATTAATATTTCAGGAATATTATTTAATATTATATAATTTTAGTAAATTATTATTAAAATGTTATATTTAATATTCTGAGAATATGCCTAAAATATTATTTAATATTAAATAATATTATGCGCTTAGGGTATATGGGTATATTTTTTTACACATTCGATGTATTCTCATTTTCGTAATCCATTTTTGTAGTCCATTTTTATTAAAATGAATTAAAAACTAGCGAATATAAATGAGTATATTCATTAATTTAAAGCCAGCGAAGATACGCTCCATGAAAAGGAAGCAGGAGAAGAACGAACAGCTTTCGAACGCTGTTTTGATTTTGGTGGAGTGAGGGTAAAAAGCCGGCTTTCCTTCGCTGCATAGAATTGTACCTTAAAACTCGAAGCTCAAACTATGAATAAGAATCTTTTGATTGAAAAAAAAACCGCAAATCATCGATAGTCACAGAAGAAACATCGATAGTTTTCGATAGCTGGCCCAAGTTAAACTATCGACAACAATCGATAGTAATATCGATGTTTAGCCACCTCAACATGACGTCGAAACGGTCAGTCGAATAAAAGCTATTTGACAATTCATAATTTTCAGGTTATCTGTACATCAAAGCAATCACATAAGTCTGCTTTGTTTTATTTTATTTAAAAAACTGTGTTGTGTTATCGTCATATGATGTAAAAACTGTCATCATTACTTCAATTGATTGTGATTATCTAAAAATGATGTGATCATAAATGTTTCAATTATCAAGGAATTAATGATTTCCATAACGAATGATGTTGAAGTATATATTTGTGGTACAATTATATTCTTTGGAATAATAATACAGATATATTTGCATTAACAAACACAAAAATGGCGCTTGTCAACATCGAAGGAATCGATCCTTGGTAAATTTATAAATTATATTTTATAAAATTTATTTACATATCCAATAATCTATTATATGTATGAGGTTTCAAGCAATGAAATTATCTCTTTATTTGAATTAATAGCCGATTACTTTAATTTAATTATATAATAAACTTACAAAAAAATTGATTAAGACTTGACTGTATGTATAATTAGGCTTACGGAATATGACGCATGTGAGAAACTGTTCCGTGAAATTATGGAACAGCTCACTATGCGTGATGGAGAACCAAAGACGTCAAAAGTTTATGCCAGCTTGTCAGCCAACATAAGATTGCGTATGAAGCAGTATACACGGGAAGTTCAGCAATTAAAGTGCAAAGTGGAAGAAGCTTCTAAATTAAAAACAATGTATTCTTCTGTTTATATATTTGTTTATATATTAATTTTGTAGCATTAGTTCAGATTTCAAAGTAATAATTCTAAAATGATAAGTTGTTTAATATACCATCTGTATGACAGAACGTTTGAGGAAGCTGAACGTCGGACGAGGCAAGTGGAACAGTTACAGAGCAAAGACATTCAGTTACAAAAATTATATGAGCCACGTACAAATGATTATATGTCGTCGCGCACTAGCTTATTAAGAGCAGACTCGTCAGCTTTCGCTGATGGAGGCACAACTTCTTGGGCTGCGGACGATGATGATGACAAGCCGTTAAATGTCCAAGTATCTGTTAATGATCTTATGAGTCACCAAGACCGAGCATTGTTAGGTACATAATAATTCTTAGAGAAAAAATTAATAAATACATTGTATATAGTTCTAATTTCTTGTAGAAATATTAATAAATACATTGTGCATTATTCTGATTTCTTGTAGAACAAGATAAAGGCTTAGAAGAGTTATGTAAAGTGATAGCTCGCCAAAAAGAAATTGGACAAACAATTAGTAATGAAGTGGATCACCAAAATGGTGAGTAGTATAAAAAAATTTATATTTAGATGATGTAATATAAAAATAACTTTTTCAAATTTTATCATCTTGTAATGTAGAAATAATTGATGATCTGGCTGATCATATGGACAGAACTGATGAATCTTTGATTAACAAGACTCAACAGGTTCGTAATATTAATTCCAAAGATCGTACGTGTGGTTATTGGATAGTGATACTTATACTTTTTATTGCTATTATTATTGTTTCTTTCGTATAGTGGATATTGAATATATTGTATTAATCCTATTATAAATTGTTATAACATCTAAATTAAATATTTACAAATAAAAAGTAAATAAGAATGTAATATCTATCAATGATAAGATATTAACTTTTTATCGGTTTACTTATATAAGATTGTTTAATGATTTATGAAATTAATATTGTATAAATAATATGTATATAAATGTGAAATAATATTTACCATTTGTTAATACTAAAAATTTATTTGATATGTATCATTTAGGGTCTATTTTTATATTTATATATTGAGATACTTTTAATTATGTAAAATTTTACCACATTAAAATATATTTAATTAGCATTAAGACTAAAATTATATGTAAGAGAGCAAGTATTTCTACATAGTCTTAAAGATAAGCGAAGACGATTTGTCAGATGTTGGAAATGGGAAATAAAAGGGTTGAGACATAATCAGACTTGTTAAATATTTTTCATTTTTCTTTTTTTTTGTCTCTTTTTATATCATAAATATCTATCCTGAATCTGGTTCTATGCGAACTTTCTCGGCGCCATAGGGATACAAAGAAAAAGATCGCTATTGTTTCTGCGCTTAATTCATTTAAATAAAACATACCAAAGAAGTCTAGACTGCCTTTGCCAGATACATCCGCTTTCTCAGTTTCGCCAGCATTTGTAATGGATAGTGTCTTGAACGTGTGTTGTTTGACACGTTCTGCTGGAACAATTAACAGATGAAAGGAATGCCTGGACTCTTCTTTTTGCAACCCGACGCAAATTATTTGGATTACTATTGTTGTCTATAGGAGACATGCTATCAGATTGAAATACATATGTACAATTGGCGCAATAGTTTTCCAACGGATATACCGCGTAAATTTACAATATCGTCCAATTTCCTTTGTTTCGCAAACTGGATTTATTTTTAATAGCTGCTAATCGCCGAGAGCATGTCGCTCTTTCATAACATACAGTGAGATCTCGTTACAACGCCCCGCGTCGAATCTCTGAGTTAATATTGTTGTACTGCAAATTTCCTTACATCGAAATGCTCGCATATTGGAACATCTTGCCATTGAGTTCAATAAAATCTCTGCTCTGCCTATATCTCTGGTTACAACAGAATTTCGTTGCGCTAGCTAGCTATTACTAGAATTGATTTTTTCTTCAACACAGAAATCGCTACAAACGTCACATTAATTATCCAGATTTTCGTACTGAACCAAATGACTTCTTGATCATGTAAGAACAGTTCTACGGATACCTGTCTACATTAACAGCCGATGAAACATTTATGCAACAAGGGATCATTTTCCTAAACATTAGTCAAAGTTAACTGATGTTCAAACCGATGCTCTGCCTCTTTCCGAAGACAGAGGAAAAGAGAGAAAGAGCGAAAGAGACAGCGGATCAATTAGATCTCAGTTAACTTTAATTAACTTTTGGCGATAGCTGCTTACACGACAGCGCAAAGCAAACACAATTAAAAATTTTTTTCCCAAAAGCATCAGTTGAAAACATTCAGAATTTTTCACGGCGAGGAACACGGACATCTCTTCCGTTTACAGGTAACTGCGTAAATGTAGAATAGATTGCACATCAATAACGTAGCATACACAGTGTTAATTGTGTGGTTCCATAGCGAGACCAAAGTGGCTTGTGCGCTGAC